GAACTTTGTTCTTGATTTCTATTCTTTTTTTTGTTTTCCTTTGAGATTTTTAGAGTTATCTGCCCAGGTAAATTCCTAAACTCTTAAGCCTCACTTTATTTTCTCAGCAGCTTCCTTGTATCTCTTATATGATCTCAGCCCATGAACATTAATCAACAGAAAACCAAATCCATCATTGCGGGCACTGCCACTGAGATACCACTCAGGCCTTTGCCCTCACTGTCATTCTATAAAGCGGGACTCAATTTCCCATAAGCAGAAGCAGAATCTCTATTTAAATCCCACTTGCAAGGTCTGGGCAAGCTTCCTATTTATAGTAAAATCCTTTTTCTAATGATCTCATATACAGTACCAGGAAATTGCTCACACTGGGTCAGGCCATAGGCCAAAAAAGCCATGGTGTGAGCTTTACTTAAAAAATTCCTTCATGAACCCCTGGGTTCTCTGGAGAAGTGTTTTTCCCCACAGAGTATATGACAATAAACAGGATCACCTGGGATGGATCACTGTGATAGGGACATTAACTTTAAGTTCAAAGGGAATTTCTGCTTTATCAGGCCAGTCTCAATTTTTATTGCTTTGGATTCCTAAAAAATATATTAGGCGAATCAAGTTCACTAAGAGACTCATGAAATACTGTATTTTTTATGCAAAGTTTGGTCAGAAAGTGTTTGCCTCTAGAATTCCCCAGAAGCAAAGAAGTGTGATTTTAGGCCATGAGTGTCTGGGGACACACACAACCTGGAGGTGTATCCTAGAGCCAGCCCCTTAATCTCTTTGGACTTCAGTTACCTCATCTATCAGATATTCCCTACTTCACAAAATTTTTTGTGAGAAACAATGAAATAATGTATATAAAGCATCCAGCATAAGACTCATCACAGTTTCGTAGTGTAATAAATGTGCTGGTTTTTCTTCTCTAAAAGCAGTTGAACAAGAGGGAGTCCCAGTGGTTAGGTGCAACCTGGTGTCCTCTTGTCAAGAGAAAATGAAGCATAGTCTTATACACTTTTCTTGTATGTGTGTGTGTAGAATGGTGTTTCACCTGCCATAGTAGGGGCATAGTGTTGTTTTTCCAGCAGCCCAGGGCTCCCAGCCACCCACTCTTGTGTACTCTGGGAGTCAGACATGACACCAGGCCAGATGACTGACCAATCTCTCTGGACATGGACCAGCTCTGCTCTCTGAGGACTAGGGAAATAAACCAGTGATATTCAGAGCAACAGATAACTCTGCCCCAGGGAAAGCAAACACAGTGCTCTGTCCCTGCTGGGAAGTCCCAGGGGTGGTATCACTGTGCTGACTACTTAAATCTCTGCTATTCTTTTCTGAGCCATTCATCCACACCTTGTTAACCATTTCCTGTGCACGGGGCACATAGGTGTTCCAAAGGTGTGATAGACATGGTCCCTGACCTGAAGGAGTAGGTCATTTAATGTGGGGAGATGAGGCATGTATACACATGTATAAAGAAGAGAAGCATCTGTAAAAGTGTTGTCAGCAGAGTGCCGTCCCCAAAGCCTAACTGGTCATTTCTGGCTGGGGAATCGGGAGAGCTCCACAGGAGAACTCTCATCCTGAAACCGATACTAAATACCAGAAAGTGTACACAAAGGCTATTGATGAGTCTCTTCCATGCCGTTTTACCAAGATGGAAGAAAGCTTTGAGCTCACTGTCATAGGAAGAGAGTAGGAACTAAAGCAAAAAGGATTTTGCTGGAAATGAAGTATAACTCTTCAGTATCACTTCCTATACTGGGACATTGTTCTACTAAAATGAATCTATCCCTCTCCCTTCCTACCCACCTTTGAGCATGTCACAGCTGCATACACCAGGGTCTACGAAGATTATCGCACCTTCTCACCCCTTTGGCTTGGCACTTTGTATGGCCAGTAACCAACACAGATGTATATGTGGGTACCCTGTTCTGATTCTGTTTCCTTGGAAACTTCTCTTCATTAGATGAATGAAATTCTGTTCCCTTTGTCTTTTTATGTAGGATCAATTTCTCTATCATTGTCTTCTTTGCTCTACTAGATCACTTATGAATTTTTTATTTCTTGAAGTATTGGAGTCCCCGGTTCCATGGGACATCCTACCAATGGTCTGCTGGTGGTGAAAACTGGAAAGAGTGATCTGGGCTTCGTAGACTCTATTCTACCTCTTTGTCCTCATAAATCACAAGTGATGCAGTGGGTTGGAGACAGCCAGCTTTTTTGGTTGCATAAAGATTTTGTGAAAGGGGAAAAAATCTGACATAATAGGAAGTCCCTAAAAGAAAAGGAGGGAGACAAATGGTGAGACAGGGTCTCCTGAGAGCTTTAGTGAAATGATACACTTGAGATTATTTGATTGATTTTCATGCAGGAAGCTACCTAAGTTGTGACTGGCATCTCCACATTTTATATCTGGTTCCTACCAATCGTGAAATTTAACTTTGGTTTACACTCAGCCCCTAAATTTAATACACCTCACTTCTTTCTGTCCACCTTTTGATTGATTTCCATGGTAGTCTCTTAGTGAGGAAACCCTGAGTTTATTTGCTTCTTAGATGTGCCTGGGCTTTCCTTAGAGTGTTCTAAAAATGGGTAAGATGGCAGTTGAGAGAGAAAGAAGAGGGAGACTTCTTTTTGGATTTAGGCAATGAAAATTTTATAGGCAGAGTAAAATTTTTGTGGATGTACTGATTTTTGGAGATTTGCAAAACTGTTCTATATGACATGCAATGCCTTTGAGATACAGAGACTGATGAAGAAAAACCCAACACTCAGCAGGCCACAGGGTGTGGCCAGCTCCTCTTTCTGCCCCCAAACAGCCAATACTTTCCTTGCAGAGATTTGTCTGCCTCCCTGAAGATGAAAATCAATGACTTCGAAACTGATTAAACAATCCAAATAGCAACTGATAAATGGATTAACCCTCTATAATGTAATTCTGTGAGCTTTTGTCTTCTGCCTTTCCCAGGTAAGTTTTTCTATTCCTGGAGGCAAAGCAGAGGCATGGAGGAAGCGAAGGCCAGAGGGAATCACATTAAAGTGGGTGAATCTCTTTATCACTTACTGTCTGGATGGTATTTCTCCTCACATATCTGCTTCCTTTTACAGATTTGTACCCTACGGGACCCTGATTAATGTTAGCCGGTAAATAATAAAAGATAGCAGACATTGGGTGTAGCGAGGAGGAAGATATACCCCCGTGGTTTAGGCTGCTCCCATAAATGGAGAGACTTTTCTTCCTAGTCACAAACAGGGAGTCTTTATGTGAGAAAGAAATATATTCACAATAGGGACAGAAAAACGGGTAAATGGGCATGTTTCTCCCCAGGCAAAGAATCTGTGTAAGACTTTGCACGAAGGCAGTAGAAACTGAGAATGATTTCTGTGCTCAAGGACATGTGCTGTTCTCACATGGTTTTGTTTTTAAGATCATATCCCAAGATTTTTCTCTGATTTTGTATAGGACTTTCATCATGGGTGGCTTATGAGGGTCTTAAGCCTCAAGATATGCTCAGTAACTCACTATTCAGTCCATCTCTGGCCTGAGTGTCCAGTCTGATTCTAAATATTCAGGATCTGCTGATCAACTAGTCCTGGGTGCTTTCCATGACCAGGGAATCTGGACTTTAGGGAGATGCAGCTGAGTGAACACCTGTGTACCTGCCAAGATGTTCATCACAATCCCCATGAGCATTTTCAGTGGTCTTTCTGGAAATGACCACCCATCAATGAATGCTTCTTTGTTTTCCTTTTCAGGGATGATAGGACTGTCTACTAAACAAAAGCATCTCTCCCAAGGGCAAGGCCTAAGCATTGACCATTCTCTCTCATCACACCACTGTTTATAACTACCAGGTGGTTGTTCAGGGATCAGAGGAGTTCACTTGACTATATGCCTTCTGGGTGCTGTGCTCATCCAGGGATGCAATCAGAGGAGCAGGCTTGTTTCTGTAAAAACACAAAGCTGGGAAATATTGCAACAATCAAACTAAACTCTGGGTAGCAAAACACTGGTACTATTAAGCTGAGGAGGGTCAAAAAGAAAACAGCCTAAGTTAACAACTTGGTTGTAACAAAACCACAGATTCTAAACTTCATACTCTTTCTGGAGCAGATTTTACCACACTGTGGGAGAAGAGGGGCCAGTAGAAATTCACCTCAGCCTAAAATTGGATTTTTTACAAAAATGTTTCTACAGCCCAGAAAGGACCGGATGGGACAGTCATTCCTAATAACTACTGTGACTTCTGCTTGGGGGGCTCTAACATGAACAAGAAGAGTGGGCGGCCTGAAGAGCTGGTGTCCTGTGCAGACTGTGGACGCTCTGGTGAGTGTGGCCCCTTCCTGCATCTGTGCCCGTAGACCAGGAGCTGCTCTACTTGCATTCCTCTGCCATCTTCTCTGGGAGTGAAGGGTGGGCTGGAGAAGTTGGAGGTGGTGATGATTTCAAGTGGAGAGGAGTTTTTAGGTCATTTGATACTTTTGTTGTTTGGATCTTAAGAAACAAATATCATACCTTGGGACCCAGGGAAAAGGGAAAGGAGAAATTTTGGACTTGTGTTCGGCCTTTTCATGAAGTGGATATTTCTTTGTATATGTTGTTGTGGACGACAGTGAAATAGTGTGGAAACACCTGGAGACACAGGCAACACCTTCTTGTACTGGGTGATGTGCATGTAACAAAAAGATGTGTTTGTTCTGTGGAAGTGCCTGGGGCATACTGGAAGCATATGGAAATATGAATACTGGGGGAGCAGCCACACCTTGAATTGTGGGAGTCAGAGACCCCTGAGCTCCTGGGTAGTGGCATAAATACCATGTCTATTGGCCACTCATCCCATTTTCTCATATGGAACCAAAAAGACCCTGATAGATGAAGGAGGCCAAAGGGCAAGGGTTCTTAGGGCTAATCTGAAGTTGACCCGGATGTTTTGAAATTTTTGTCTTTAACCTATCCAAAGTCTAAAATAAAAAAAGACTTAGATCTTGTTCTTCTATTCTTATAATGAGTTCAGGTTTTTAAGTTTTGTTCAAGCTGTTGATTGCTTTTCAGTTCTAACCAAACCAGTACTTTTGGCTGGTTGTGGTTGGTTGGTACTATCTATTTCTCATATGTTTTTTTATGTCATAACTAGACCAAAGAGAGATTTCAGACTCATGATTAGTCTCATCAACTACTGACTCTACTGGGTGAAAGAAATATAGTTCAATTGGATGGTTGGCTCCAGCAGTGAGGAGTCACTGCTCCTTTCCACACTTCTACCCTGTGTCTTTTCTACTCCTAGTTCCAAGAATAGAGATTACCACACCTGGGTTTCCTGTAGCAACTCAGTTCCTCCTTTGCTTTGTCCACTAACCTTAGCTTTAGTCCTTTTAAAAAAATATTTGGCTTTTGGGTTGTTTAGGGTTAAAGACTGACTTGAGAAGCAAATCAGTAATTGAAAAAGGACTCTCAACATTTAATGCTTAAGGACGCTGACAGGGTGGCCCATCTGTGCAGTTCCATCAGTTCATTTACTTTCCAAACATGATACCTAATGTTGAACTTTTTCTTTACTGGGGCTAGCTTAGAAAAGAGGACACATGTGATAGTAAACTCTGGGTTTTAGATATTTACAAAGAAAATGAAACAAATGAAATTCAATTCAGTGTTTTAGAAAGTGAATGATCATCAGAAGCGAAGTTACGGTGTGATATGATATGGTAGGAGAGCGGTATGGACTGCTGTGGGGCGCCTTGGAGAGGGCAGCCTCAAGTCCTCACTGCAGACTGCTGCAATTTCCCGTCCTTCCCCACAGAAGATGAGGCACTTGAGTCTGATTCATGGGGCACCAGAAATGGGCAGTTGTTTTTTTCCCTACCCAAAGCCTTTTTCTTCACAGCCTTTACTCAGCCTTTTCTTCCCAGGATCTGTTTGCTACGTGACTCAGGGGACCATTTTATACAGCCTAGGTGTTCTCATTGCATTTGCCAAGGATTAATTTTGGTGGATAATTTAGTCAAGGTCTGCCTCTGATTTTCCTGAAGTAGCTGAAACCTTGGGAATAAACAGGTGGCATTAGCCATGGGATGTGCTTGTTAAGGCTGGGGGCGAGCACTTCTCTAGGGCCTCCCTGGAGTCTTTCCAAGGAAGAGTGTGGAGCTTGGAAGAGTTGTGTTTCCCTTCCAATCTATCTTGCTACCTCTGTTTCCTGGGGAGAAAATGAGATTCCTGATATTGGCTCCATAAGTGGCACATCAGGACCTGATTTGGGGGCAGTCTTGGGGCCCATTAAGAATGTAAAAGTTTAAACCTGAGTTGCACAAATTTCAGGATATAACCCCTGTTTTTCACTTTCTTATGCTCTGAGTTAGGTTTAACAACTCTGGACTTTCTGGGATAATGAATACCTGGGCATGTTTAGTGGCTGGAGTGTGTGTGTGTGTGTGTGTGCGTGTGCGCGCGCGCATGTGTGTGCTTGTACACATGCATGCGTGCACACACACATGTATTTGCATGCACATGTATGTGGGTACAGATCATAGTAATGTCCTCCAGTGGTAAAAAAGCGAGAGACTCTTATTACTTCCCACTTGTCAGACTCTTCAACTTCTTTTTGCTTTCAGTGCAAATGAACTACATGGTGTAAGGGCAAAATTGAAAGGGTACTGAAAGAAAGGGATTAGAAACAGGTAAAAATAAAAATAAAATGGATGGAGGCTTAACCGCCTTGAATGGGTTATCTGACAGTAATACCTTTGTAGAGCTCACTGTCAAAGTGAAGGACAAACATTGTGCAAAGAAACACCAGTGGAAAACACCAAAGAAATAACAACCAGGCTTGACACCACCAGGTCAACTCATTGTCTGGCGTGGGGTTGAGTGAATGTGTGTATGTGTGCATACAGTAGAGAAGAAAGAAATCTTGTGGGTGAGTCTTTCCCTGTCAGAGCTGTGCACGTGTATATTATGGTAGAGATGGTACCTTTTCAGGGAGCGAGGAATCCTTTTCCCTGGAAATGTTGGCTTTGTCCTTTTACCCCAAATCCCTGTCACCAGGTGATGCACCCAGTTAATCTCTTTTGGTGGAAATGGTTTATGATCTTGCTATGAAGAATATCATTGTAATAATATAATAAGAATATTAATAATGCTGTCTGTTGCTTAACCCATGTGCTGATATATTCATCATACATGTCAGCTCATTTGGGAGGAGAAGGCAGGAAGGAGAAGGAGGCAGCGGCCGCAGCACGCACCACGGAGGACTTATTCGGTTCCACGTCAGAAAGTGACACGTCAACTTTCCACGGCTTTGATGAGGATGATTTGGAAGAGCCTCACTCCTGCCGAGGACGCCGCAGTGGCCGGGGTTCGCCCACAGCAGATAAAAAGGGCAGTTGCTAAACCCATGAACAGACTCTCTGGGCAATTAGCCGTCACCCTCTGACTTTGGTCGTTGTTCTGGTTCTGATAAAAATTTTTTAAATGAAAGACAACTTTAGTTTTTCCCTCATCCTTGCTTTCCTCTTACCTTCCATGCATCCCTTCCCCCTTTCCCTCTATTTGAGTATGTACAGCAGAAGCACAAACTACTGAAACAGAACAAAAGAGCAAAATAGTCTTTCAGAGAGATGGCATCGTGATGTACTATTTATTTTCCAGAGAAATGAGAAGTTAGGCGAATTATCTCTTTTGGGGGGAGGGGATCTTTTTGACATGAGCAGAGTTGATTTCCTCAGTTTTCCTATTTATTAGCAAAACGAAGAGAGGAAGAATAGTGGGTTTGGAAACAAAGAACCAATTACATTAAATAAATTATTATTTATATATTCTAACTATTATTAGAAACTGACTTTTTTTTTGAGAGGGAGAATGAAGGGAAATCAAAGAAATTAAAGTAATATCCTATTTAGAAGAAAGCCATTGGGGGAGGATTGATGCCAGGAGACCCAGGCAGGAGGATTTCCTCGGTGGGAGATGATTGCACTTTGTGTTCCCCACGGAGTCTGTGGCTCCCCATGGCAGACCCCTCCCCACTTCTTATCCCTGACCTTTCCGGCTTCCTCCCTGCTTGCGAGAAAATGTCAGCAGTTCCTGAGAAGTCCGGGGCTGCTGTATGTGGCCTCCCTCCAGCACCTGGGCCCCTCCAGCAGCGCCTCCTGGGCTCCTCTCCTCCATCAGCAGAGTCACTGTTCGGTGGTTGCTGGTTTTTTTCCTCACTTTCCCCCGGTGAAGAGCAATTTCCAAATGCAGGAGTGGAGCATAAGCAGGAAGTCATGGACTCAGCAGTGAGAAACAACCCGAGGCTGCACTTGTGGAAGAAAGAATCATACCTTGAAGTATATTTCCCTCCCCCCTCGCCCCTCTTTACAAACATATGAATTCCCGTTGGATGATCAAGTCCTCCCGTATTTCTTCTATATTTTTATAGTGCCCTGCAGGCACTTTGTTTTATGTTTCCAATAGCATCTCCTGAAATAAACCAAAGCCACACTTGCTCAAGGCCCCTGGGGCGATGGAGAAGACCATCCACCATGTTGGCATTCCCAAGAGTGAACAGCTGTGCGGGCCTAGTCAAAAGGTATGTCTTGGCTGACCTGTCTTACCATGAAGGCAAATCCATCACAGTTGTTTTTCCCCTCCTTACTTTATCCCCCCACCTTATCTGTTGTTTTTCTTGGGTTCGACCCCCTTATTAGTGGGAGTGGCTCCTGGAGAGCCTTCCACCCAGCCCTCTACTGCCTGTGTGTGCATGCATCTCCACGCAGGCGTGGGCCTAGTGTGAGGACTGAAGCTTGCTTGGGGCTCTGTGTGGAGAATGGGGGGCTTCTGGCTCAACTATAAGAGAAAGTGGCTGGGGACGTGCTTGGCTAACGCCTCCCTTGGCTACACCTGGAGGGGGGCAGCCAGGGAGCTGACATGGGAGTTGGCTGCTATACTTGGGTAGGAATGAGGGGGTGTGGCCACAGGGGGACTGCATGTTTAGGCTGGTATTCCTTGCTCCAGGTATCAATTTAACAGCTAAGGGAATGGGTTCAAATTAAAGCAGATCTGATTAGGCCCAACACTCAGCTGACCTGAAGATTCTGAACTCCCGCTAAGTGTGGTCAGGTTGTTTGGCCTCCACTCGAGAATAGGTCCAGAGACATGGGCACTGCCATTTGGCTTGGGTTGGAAGATGAGAGAGGCCACCCAGGCAGCAGGCTGCTTTTAAGTGTCTGGGAAGATCTGCTTTAACAATCCAGCCTTTGCAGATCCTCATGAATGAGACCTCTTGTTAAAACAACAAATCAACCAAACAAAAGCAAGGACCAAGCAAAGAGATCCACAAATGGGCCCTTTGTGCT